CTGGCCTCCAGTCTCCCCTGGGACTCGCTTAACCTTTCTCCCGGGGACGCTGTGCCCAACAGTGCCCGCAGAGTGGCTGGTGTCTCTGTTATCTGGGGCCTCACCATGCCTTCAGCACTGACAGGAGTGACTCTGTGGCCCCTCTCCCACCCTGCCCCACAGATGGCGCTGTCAGCGAATTGAGTGACATAGGCACATCTGTGATGGCCTAGGGGACCACGTGTCCTCGGCTCATCCCCGCCAGTTTTCAGGTTACTTGTTCCTCACGGGGCACAGGTGAACAGTTCTGAAGCCGCGTCCCATGAACGCTAGCATTGGACCAACCAGGAAGCAGATGGAGGGTGCCGAGAGCCAGGCTTCTCCTGGCTGGAGGGGGGTCGCAGGCAAGGAAGAGCGGAGGCTGCGATGGAGATGGGTGCGGTGGGGCTGGACGGGGCGGCAGGCTGTGGAAGGCGTGTTCAGCTGCACACGCATGCACACACATGTGCACACATGCACACACGCACCTGTGCCCATGCATACACAGACTGACAGGCAGGGAGAAACCCCTTGCAGCGTTGACTGGGGCAGTGTGGACGATGGTGCAGAGTCTGGTGGAACTCAGAGACCTGAGGGGCATCGTGGCCTCCTGAGGGGCATTGTGGCCTCCGCAGGGCTCACGTCTTGAGCGGAGTCCTGGCTCCTGGCCAGCCGCAGGCCCCCTCCCACAGTTGCACCCTTGTCCCTTGTCCATGTGGGGCCCTGGACCTCTGAGTTAAACCTATGCCGACAGGAGGGGCCGGCTGGGGGTCTTTGAAATCACCCCACAGCCGGAGACCTGAAATGTGTCTGCCTGAGTCCACCGTAGGTCAGGATGAGTGACCGACCGTAAGGTTCGGAGTTGTTGCCAGAAGAGGCGTGTGAAGTGTGGCCGTGGTTGGCGAGTGCGCTGTCTTCTATTCTGGTGGAAGGCCACCAGCAGCATCGTGTGGAAAGAACTGAATCCTCTGCCCGGACATCCCTCAGAGCCTTGGCCCGGTCAGAGACCTCAGGCCGAGTAGCAGCATGACGACGAGGACCCCGGACCAAGCTCGTGCCGTCCGCAGCGGAGACACAGCTGCCTTTTGAGGAACAAGCCTGAGTCTGGGCCTGCACAGAGACAGCGCGTGACCCGGGGTGTGAGGACCACATGCCCCACGTGCTGTGTTCTAGGCAGGGTCGGTGGCCCCTGCCCCACCGTGAGAATACACCTGCCTTCCAAAGGTGGACAGGATGCTAGGTGAGCGGCACGCGCAGGGGGCCCAGTCCCCACTGCCCAGAGTGATGGCCCCAGTGCCTCCCTAATCACAGCTATGGCTGGGGGGGGGGGGGGCTCCGTGTGAGCAGGAGGGAAGGCAGGGGCCCGGTTACAGATGGACTCAGGATTCCCTGGCTTCTGACCAGGGGAAGATGGCAGAAAACAACAGAGGTAGAGCTTTCGCGGGGGGGGGGGGGGGGGGGTGCTGGAGAGAGGCCTGCAGTGGAAGCTACGGGAAGAAGAGGAAGGCAGTGGAGCAGTGTGGGATGCGCAGATAGCAGCAGCAGGTGGGGACACCACCCCCGACCCCCGCCTCCAGGGGCTGGAGGACCCAGGGGAGCGCAGATCAGCAGCCGTGCCACTGGTGATATTGCCTCAGGGAGTCTGGCCTGGAGCTACTGTGGGGGGCAGGGTGCCTGCCTATTCCAGCCAAGGAAAAGCCCGTTTCTTTCCCCCCATTCCCCTATAAGGGCACCGGGCAACCAGCAGGGAGCAGATGCCATCTTGACACCAGTAGCAGCTGTGGTGGCTCCTGAGTCCAGGAGGTTTTACCAGAAGGAAAAATCCGTGTTTCCCAGTGACTTAGAGTCAGGCTGGGAGGGGTGACCGGGGGCTGGGCACCCACTCGGCGTTGTGAGGTGCCCCAGCCTCAGCCTGTCACAGGCTCTGGGGCTCAAGCTGCCAAGGCAGAGCACCCGCAGGCAGCTGGCTCTGGGAATGACTCTGCTCTCTCCGTGGACGGGGCAGGCTTGCAGGGCAGACAGGGGCTTCTGCACCCCATGACTGTGGGAGCCTCGCACGCTGTGATGGTGGGAACGCCGTGACTGCACGGCAGGGTGTGGGGAGGGCTGGGTCTCCGGGGAGTCACTGTGTCTGGCGTCAGAGGCTCAGAGCCTCCTGACTGCCTGGCTAGGCCATTGCAGGGGCTTCAGTGCTCACACAGAGACACACACACAGACCCTGGTGCGGGTCACCCGCCAGCGTGGGCGAGGGCTGCGCAGACCCTGTGTGCAGGTCACCTGCCAGTGTGGGCGAGGGCTGCGCAGACCCTGTGTGCGGGTCACCTGCCAGACCTGCCAGTGTGGGTGAGGGTTGCGCAGACCCTGGTGCGGGTCACCCGCCAGTGTGGGCGAGGGCTGCGCAGACCCTGTGTGCGGGTCACCTGCCAGACCTGCCAGTGTGGGTGAGGGTTGCGCAGACCCTGGTGCGGGTCACCCGCCAGCGTGGGCGAGGGCTGCGCAGACCCTGTGTGTGGGTCACCTGCCAGTGTGGGCGAGGGCTGCACAGACCCTGTGTGTGGGTCACCTGCCAGCGTGGGTGAGGGCTGCACAGACCCTGTGTGTGGGTCACCTGCCAGTGTGGGCGAGGGCTGCACAGACCCTGTGTGTGGGTCACCTGCCAGCGTGGGTGAGGGTTGCGCAGACCCTGTGTGTGGGTCACCTGCCAGACCTGCCAGTGTGGGCGAGGGCTGCACAAACCCTGTGTGTGGGTCACCTGCCAGCGCGGGTGAAGGCTGCGCCCACTGTGGGCTCACCCTGGACAGTGATCACCTGCAAAGACAGGAGGCTGTGATCCCACCCACGGAGGTCAGAGGTGACCTTACCAACCCCCCACAGTACAGGAGATCGGCCACACCCAGTGTAGAGGTCACTCTAGACACTCGCCCCACCCTGGAGCACTGACCAGAGCTCCCTGGCCACACCCAGCACACACCTCTGGGTATCCACTGAAGGAGCAGACACTCCACTAAGCCACAGAGGCACAGTTCAAAGATAAAAGTTACCAGTGGAGGGCCGGCGCCACGGCTCACTAGGCTAATCCTCCGCCTTGTGGCGCTGGCATACTGGGTTCTAGTCCCGGTCGGGGCACCGGATTCTGTCCCGGTTGCCCCTCTTCCAGGCCAGCTCTCTGCTGTGGCCCGGGAGTGAAGTGGAGGATGGCCCAAGTGCTTGGGCCCTGCACCCCAAGGGAGACCAGGAGAAGCACCTGGCTCCTGCATTCAGATCAGCACGGTGCGCTGGCTGCGGCGGCCACTGGAGGGTGAACCAACGGCAAAGGAAGACCTTTCTCTCTGTCTCTCTCTCTCTCACTGTCCACTCTGCCTGTCAAAAAAAAAAAAAAGTTACCAGTGGAAAAAACCAACAAGTAACTCCACAAATGCCTAAAAATGAACACAGAAATTCAAGAAATAAGAATAAAGACAACATGACGCACTCAAAGGAACACAGCAGCAGTTCAATACAGACTGTGAAGATGAAGAGATTGAGGAAATGCCTGAAAAGAAATTCAAAAGAGTGATCGTGGAATTACTCAGAAGCAAACGAGGAGCAAATCCATGAGCTAAAGAAATCCATGCATGACACAGATGGAGAATTTCCCCACGAGATGGAGATTCGAAGATAAATCAAAGAAATATTAGAAATGAAGACTTCACTATGTCAAATAAAAATACAGTGGAAAGCCTCAACAACAGACTTGGTGAGGCAGAGGAAAGAGTGAGGTACTAGACAAATATTTGAAAACATCTCAGACAAAAAAAAAAAAAAAGAAGAAGAAATAGAAAAATAGAAGCAGTGTTCGAGTTTTATGGGGAATTATCAAACGACCCAACATACAAGTCTTAGGGATCCCTGAAGGTGTAGAAAGAGGGAACAGGCCTACTCTGTGAAGTAGGGACAGAAAATGTCTGTAATTTGGAGAAAGAAAGGGACGTCCAAGTACAGGAAGCACACAGAACTCCTAATAGACCTACCAGAAGTGATCACCTCCACACATTACAGTCAAGCTTTCAACAACGAAACACAGAGAGAAGACTCTAAAACGTGCAGGAGAGAAACACCAGGTAACTTTGAGATCTCCAATCAGACTCTAAGACGTGCAGGAGAGAAACACCAGGCAACTTTCAGAGATCTCCAACCAGACTCACAGCTGGTTCTCATCAGAAACCCAGCCGGGAGAGAATGGAGAGAAACAGGCTGAGACTTCAGAGAAACAAACTCAGCCCAGAACCCTGCACCCTAGAGCTCTCACTGATGAGTGCAGGTGACATAAAGACCTCCCATAACAATTGAAAGAATTTGTCACCACCCGCCCAGCCCTAGGAAAGATGGTTAAGGATGTGCTGCACAGAGAAACAGAAACATGGTCATCACTATGAAAGAATGTGAAAGCAAGAAATTTCCCAGTGAAAGTACAAAGGAAATCCAAAGCAAGCAACAGGAATGTTTAAGGAAAAATGTCAAGGACAGGTCGTTACTCAACACACGTGGACGCAGCTCCTAACGGGCGCCAGCTAAGTGGAGACCGCTGCTCTCCAGCCGCAGCCGACAGCAGCACTGAGCACAGCGAGACAGGACAGCATTCTGACAGGTCACATGGTCAGAGAGCCCCAGTGGAAGGGAGGACACGTTCACATCTCTGGCAGTGGGCAGTGGCCTGGCCATCTGGTCAGGAGCCCAGGAGGAGAAGATGGAGATGAAGGACAAGAGCTGGGGTTGAGAGGCAGCGAATGGCCAGTGTGAAGGTGTTTGCCACATTCGCTGACACCCCTGGAAAGTGCTCACCTCAGAGGAGGTGTTGAACACCTGAGGAGACGTGGGTATGTCCGTAGACAGTCTGCATTCTCAGTAGGCCAGAGCTGTCACAACAGGCGGGGAGTGGAGAGGTTGCAGTAGTGAAGGAGGGTGGGCTGGGCGGGAGGTGGAGGTCAGGGCGGGGATGGAGGTGTGGTGGGGATGGATGGTGTGGTGGACATGCAGGTTATGGTGGATACCAGGGTTGTCATGGAGACAGATTACAGTGGATACGAGGTTAGTGTTGGAGGTGTGGTGGGGATGGATGGTGTGGTGGTCATGCAGGTTATGGTGGACATCGGGGTTGTCATGGAGACAGATTACAGTGGATACGAGGTTAGTGTTGGAGGTGTGGTGGAGATGGATGGTGTGGTGGACATGCAGGTTATGGTGGATACCAGGGTTGTCATGGAGATAGATTACAGTGGATACGAGGTTAGTGTTGGAGGTGTGGTGGGGATGGATGGTGTGGTGGACATGCAGGTTATGGTGGATACCAGGGTTGTCATGGAGATAGATTACAGTGGATACGAGGTTAGTGTTGGAGGTGTGGTGGAGATGGATGGTGTGGTGGACATGCAGGTTATGGTGGATACCAGGGTTGTCATGGAGACAGATTACAGTGGATACGAGGTTAGTGTTGGAGGTGTGGTGGGGATGGATGGTGTGGTGGACATGCAGGTTATGGTGGATACCAGGGTTGTCATGGAGACAGATTACAGTGGATACGAGGTTAGTGTTGGAGGTGTGGTGGAGATGGACGGTGTGGTGGACATGCAGGTTATGGTGGATACCAGGGTTGTCATGGAGATAGATTACAGTGGATACGAGGTTAGTGTTGGAGGTGTGGTGGGGATGGATGGTGTGGTGGTCATGCAGGTTATGGTGGATACCAGGGTTGTCATGGAGACAGATTACAGTGGATACGAGGTTAGTGTTGGAGGTGTGGTGGAGATGGACGGTGTGGTGGACATGCAGGTTATGGTGGATACCAGGGTTGTCATGGAGACAGATTACAGTGGATACGAGGTTAGTGTTGGAGGTGTGGTGGGGATGGATGGTGTGGTGGTCATGCAGGTTATGGTGGATACCAGGGTTGTCATGGAGACAGATTACAGTGGATACGAGGTTAGTGTTGGAGGTGTGGTGGAGATGGACGGTGTGGTGGACATGCAGGTTATGGTGGATACCAGGGTTGTCATGGAGACAGATTACAGTGGATACGAGGTTAGTGTTGGAGGTGTGGTGGGGATGGACGGTGTGGTGGACATGCAGGTTATGGTGGATACCAGGGTTGTCATGGAGACAGATTACAGTGGATACGAGGTTAGTGTTGGAGGTGTGGTGGGGATGGACGGTGTGGTAGACATGCAGGTTATGGTGGATACCAGGGTTGTCATGGAGATAGATTACAGTGGATACGAGGTTAGTGTTGGAGGTGTGGTGGAGATGGATGGTGTGGTGGACATGCAGGTTATGGTGGACATCGGGGTTGTCATGGAGACAGATTACAGTGGATACGAGGTTAGTGTTGGAGGTGTGGTGGAGATGGACGGTGTGGTGGACATGCAGGTTATGGTGGATACCAGGGTTGTCATGGAGACAGATTACAGTGGATACGAGGTTAGTGTTGGAGGTGTGGTGGGGATGGACGGTGTGGTGGACATGCAGGTTATGGTGGATACCAGGGTTGTCATGGAGACAGATTACAGTGGATACGAGGTTAGTGTTGGAGGTGTGGTGGGGATGGATGGTGTGGTGGACATGCAGGTTATGGTGGATACCAGGGTTGTCATGGAGACAGATTACAGTGGATACGAGGTTAGTGTTGGAGGTGTGGTGGGGATGGACGGTGTGGTGGACATGCAGGTTATGGTGGATACCAGGGTTGTCATGGAGACAGATTACAGTGGATACGAGGTTAGTGTTGGAGGTGTGGTGGGGATGGATGGTGTGGTGGTCATGCAGGTTATGGTGGACATCGGGGTTGTCATGGAGACAGATTACAGTGGATACGAGGTTAGTGTTGGAGGTGTGGTGGAGATGGACGGTGTGGTGGACATGCAGGTTATGGTGGATACCAGGGTTGTCATGGAGACAGATTACAGTGGATACGAGGTTAGTGTTGGAGGTGTGGTGGAGATGGACAGTGTGGTGGACATGCAGGTTATGGTGGATACCAGGGTTGTCATGGAGACAGATTACAGTGGATACGAGGTTAGTGTTGGAGGTGTGGTGGGGATGGACGGTGTGGTGGACATGCAGGTTATGGTGGATACCAGGGTTGTCATGGAGACAGATTACAGTGGATACGAGGTTAGTGTTGGAGGTGTGGTGGGGATGGATGGTGTGGTGGTCATGCAGGTTATGGTGGACATCGGGGTTGTCATGGAGACAGATTACAGTGGATACGAGGTTAGTGTTGGAGGTGTGGTGGGGATGGACGGTGTGGTGGACATGCAGGTTATGGTGGATACCAGGGTTGTCATGGAGACAGATTACAGTGGATACGAGGTTAGTGTTGGAGGTGTGGTGGGGATGGATGGTGTGGTGGTCATGCAGGTTATGGTGGACATCGGGGTTGTCATGGAGACAGATTACAGTGGATACGAGGTTAGTGTTGGAGGTGTGGTGGGGATGGACGGTGTGGTGGACATGCAGGTTATGGTGGATACCAGGGTTGTCATGGAGACAGATTACAGTGGATACGAGGTTAGTGTTGGAGGTGTGGTGGGGATGGACGGTGTGGTGGACATGCAGGTTATGGTGGATACCAGGGTTGTCATGGAGACAGATTACAGTGGATACGAGGTTAGTGTTGGAGGTGTGGTGGGGATGGATGGTGTGGTGGTCATGCAGGTTATGGTGGACATCGGGGTTGTCATGGAGACAGATTACAGTGGATACGAGGTTAGTGTTGGAGGTGTGGTGGGGATGGACAGTGTGGTGGACATGCAGGTTATGGTGGATACCAGGGTTGTCATGGAGACAGAATACAGTGGATATGAGGTTAGTGTTGGAGGTGTGGTGGAGATGGACGGTGTGGTGGACATGCAGGTTATGGTGGATACCAGGGTTGTCATGGAGACAGATTACAGTGGATACGAGGTTAGTGTTGGAGGTGTGGTGGGGATGGACGGTGTGGTGGACATGCAGGTTATGGTGGATACCAGGGTTGTCATGGAGACAGATTACAGTGGATACGAGGTTAGTGTTGGAGGTGTGGTGGAGATGGACAGTGTGGTGGACATGCAGGTTATGGTGGATACCAGGGTTGTCATGGAGACAGATTACAGTGGATACGAGGTTAGTGTTGGAGGTGTGGTGGGGATGGATGGTGTGGTGGTCATGCAGGTTATGGTGGACATCGGGGTTGTCATGGAGACAGATTACAGTGGATACGAGGTTAGTGTTGGAGGTGTGGTGGGGATGGACGGTGTGGTAGACATGCAGGTTATGGTGGATACCAGGGTTGTCATGGAGATAGATTACAGTGGATACGAGGTTAGTGTTGGAGGTGTGGTGGAGATGGATGGTGTGGTGGACATGCAGGTTATGGTGGACATCGGGGTTGTCATGGAGACAGATTACAGTGGATACGAGGTTAGTGTTGGAGGTGTGGTGGAGATGGACGGTGTGGTGGACATGCAGGTTATGGTGGATACCAGGGTTGTCATGGAGACAGATTACAGTGGATACGAGGTTAGTGTTGGAGGTGTGGTGGAGATGGATGGTGTGGTGGACATGCAGGTTATGGTGGATACCAGGGTTGTCATGGAGACAGATTACAGTGGATACGAGGTTAGTGTTGGAGGTGTGGTGGGGATGGATGGTGTGGTGGACATGCAGGTTATGGTGGATACCAGGGTTGTCATGGAGACAGATTACAGTGGATACGAGGTTAGTGTTGGAGGTGTGGTGGGGATGGATGGTGTGGTGGTCATGCAGGTTATGGTGGATACCAGGGTTGTCATGGAGACAGATTACAGTGGATACGAGGTTAGTGTTGGAGGTGTGGTGGGGATGGACGGTGTGGTGGACATGCAGGTTATGGTGGATACCAGGGTTGTCATGGAGACAGATTACAGTGGATACGAGGTTAGTGTTGGAGGTGTGGTGGGGATGGACGGTGTGGTGGACATGCAGGTTATGGTGGATACCAGGGTTGTCATGGAGACAGATTACAGTGGATACGAGGTTAGTGTTGGAGGTGTGGTGGAGATGGACAGTGTGGTGGACATGCAGGTTATGGTGGATACCAGGGTTGTCATGGAGACAGATTACAGTGGATACGAGGTTAGTGTTGGAGGTGTGGTGGGGATGGACGGTGTGGTGGACATGCAGGTTATGGTGGATACCAGGGTTGTCATGGAGACAGATTACAGTGGATACGAGGTTAGTGTTGGAGGTGTGGTGGGGATGGATGGTGTGGTGGTCATGCAGGTTATGGTGGACATCGGGGTTGTCATGGAGACAGATTACAGTGGATACGAGGTTAGTGTTGGAGGTGTGGTGGGGATGGACGGTGTGGTGGACATGCAGGTTATGGTGGATACCAGGGTTGTCATGGAGACAGATTACAGTGGATACGAGGTTAGTGTTGGAGGTGTGGTGGGGATGGATGGTGTGGTGGACATGCAGGTTATGGTGGACAAGGGGTTGTCATGGAGACAGATTACAGTGGATACGAGGTTAGTGTTGGAGGTGTGGTGGAGATGGACAGTGTGGTGGACATGCAGGTTATGGTGGATACCAGGGTTGTCATGGAGACAGATTACAGTGGATACGAGGTTAGTGTTGGAGGTGTGGTGGGGATGGACGGTGTGGTGGACATGCAGGTTATGGTGGATACCAGGGTTGTCATGGAGACAGATTACAGTGGATACGAGGTTAGTGTTGGAGGTGTGGTGGGGATGGATGGTGTGGTGGTCATGCAGGTTATGGTGGACATCGGGGTTGTCATGGAGACAGATTACAGTGGATACGAGGTTAGTGTTGGAGGTGTGGTGGGGATGGACGGTGTGGTGGACATGCAGGTTATGGTGGATACCAGGGTTGTCATGGAGACAGATTACAGTGGATACGAGGTTAGTGTTGGAGGTGTGGTGGGGATGGATGGTGTGGTGGACATGCAGGTTATGGTGGACAAGGGGTTGTCATGGAGACAGATTACAGTGGATACGAGGTTAGTGTTGGAGGTGTGGTGGGGATGGACGGTGTGGTGGTCATGCAGGTTATGGTGGACATCGGGGTTGTCATGGAGACAGATTACAATGGATACGAGGTTAGTGTTGGAGGTGTGGTGGAGATGGACGGTGTGGTGGACATGCAGGTTATGGTGGATACCAGGGTTGTCATGGAGACAGATTACAGTGGATACGAGGTTAGTGTTGGAGGTGTGGTGGAGATGGATGGTGTGGTGGACATGCAGGTTATGGTGGACATCGGGGTTGTCATGGAGACGGATTACAGTGGATATGAGGTTAGTGTTGGAGATGGAGGTGTGGTGGAGATGGGGTTTGTGGTAGGGTTGTTGTGGCAATGGAGGTTGTGGTGGAGGTGGGAGTTGTGGTGGAGGTGAGCGTTGTAGATGGACATTATGGCGGACATGGAGGTTCTGGTGGACATGGGGGTGTGGTGGAGGTGAGACGGGAATTTTTGTGGAGATGGAGGTTGAGGTGGAATTTGTTGTGGAAATGGGAGTCTGTGGAGACGAGATGAGAGTTGTGGAGTTGGGTGTGGTGTAGATGGAGGCTGTGGTGTAGACAGAGGTTGTGGTGGACGTGAGGGTTATGGTGGAGATGAGATGGGGACTGTGTTGGAGATGGAGTTTGTGTTGGAGATGGAGGTTGTGGTGTAGACGGAGGTTGTGGTGGACATGAGGGTTGTGGTGTAGACGGAGGTTGTGGTGGACTTGAGGGTTGTGGTGGAGATGAGGTGGGGCCTGTGGTGTAGACAGAGGCTGTGGTGTAGACGGAGGTTGTGGTGGATGTGAGTGTTGTGGTGGAGATGAGGTGGGGACTGTGGTGTAGATGGAGGCTGTGGTGTAGACGGAGGTTGTGGTGGATGTGAGGGTTGTGATGGAGATGGAGGTTGTGGTGTAGACGGAGGTTGTGGTGGACGTGAGGGTTGTGATGGAGATGGAGGTTGTGGTGGACGTGAGGGTTGTGGTGTAGACGGAGGTTGTGGTGTAGATGGAGGCTGTGGTGTAGATGGAGGTTGTGGTGGACGTGAGGGTTGTGGTGGAGATGAGGCGGGGACTGTGGTGTAGACGGAGGTTGTCACGGGAATGAAGGATGGGATGGAGACAGAATGTTAGAGTGAAGGCTGTAGCTCTGAGGGCTGTGGGAGGATGGAGGCTGTGGTGGATATAGGTGTTGCCATAGAGACAGAGCATGTGTTGGCGAGGGGTTGGTGGTGGAGATGGAGGATGCTGTGGGAATGGGGCTTGTGGGGGGAACAGGGCTGTAGTGCAGGTGGGAGCTGTGGTGGAGACAGGCTGTGGTGAGTTGGGTCCTGTGGTAGAGACAGACTGTGGTGGAGGTGGAGGCCGTTGTGTAGATAGGATGAGGGCGGCGGTGGGGAGGGAGGTTCTGGTAGGAACAGGGTTGTTGTACGGATGAGATGAGAGTTGTGGTGAGACGCGGGTTGCGGTGGGGATAGAGATTGTGGTTGACCTGGGTGGGGGCTGTGGTGGAGATGATGTTGGGATTGTGGTGGAGATGAGGTTTCGGTGGAGATGAGATGGGGGCTGTGGTGGAGATGGAGGGAGTGGTTAGGGTGAGATGGGAGGTGCATGTGTGGGTTTTGTGGAGATGGGTTTGTTGATATTGATAGAGGTTGTGGTGGAGATGGAGGTTCTGGTGGAGTTGGGTTTGGTGGGAATGAGATGGGATTTTGGTGGGTGCAGAGTTGTTAGGGAGATGAGGTTGTGGTAGTGATGACATGAGGTTTGCTGTGGGGGTGCAGGTCCTGGTGGGGGTGCAGTTTCTTGTTGGGGTGCAGGTTCTTGTTGGGGTGCAGGTCCTGGTGGGGGTGCAGGTTCTTGTTGGGGTGCAGGTCCTGGTGGGGGTGCAGGTTCTTGTTGGGGTGCAGGTTCTGGTGGGGGTGCAGGTCCTGGTGGGGTGCAGGTCCTGGTGGGGGTGCAGGTCATAGTGGGGGTGCAGGTCCTGGTGGGGGTGCAGGTCCTGGTGGGGGTGCAGGTCATAGTGGGGGTGCAGGTTCTGGTGGGGGTGCAGGTTCTGGTGGGGGTGCAGGTCCTGGTGGGGTGCAGGTCCTGGTGGGGGTGCAGGTCATAGTGGGGGTGCAGGTCCTGGTGGGGGTGCAGGTCCTGGTGGGGGTGCAGGTCCTGGTGGGGTGCAGGTTCTGGTGGGGGTGTAGGTTCTGGTGGGGTGCAGGTCTGGTGGGGGTGCAGGTCCTATGGGGGTGCAGGTTCTGGTGGGGGTGCAGGTCCTGGTGGGGGTGCAGGTTCTTGTTGGGGTGCAGGTCCTGGTGGGGGTGCAGGTTCTTGTTGGGGTGCAGGTTCTGGTGGGGGTGCAGGTCCTGGTGGGGGTGCAGGTTCTGGTAGGGTGCAGGTCCTGGTGGGGGTGCAGGTTCTGGTGGGGGTGCAGGTCCTGGTGGGGGTGCAGGTTCTGGTGGGGGTGCAGGTCTGGTGGTGGTGCAGGTTCTGGGGGGGGTGCAGGTTCTTGTTGGGGTGCAGGTCCTGGTGGGGGTGCAGGTTCTGGTGGGGGTGCAGGTCCTGGTGGGGGTGCAGGTCCTGGTGGGGGTGCAGGTCCTGGTGGGGGTGCAGGTTCTGGTGGGGGTGCAGGTCCTGGTGGGGGTGCAGGTTCTGGTGGGGGTGCAGGTCTGGTGGTGGTGCAGGTTCTGGGGGGGGTGCAGGTTCTGGGGGGGGTGCAGGTCCTGGTGGGGGTGCAGGTTCTGGTGGGGGTGCAGGTTCTTGTTGGGGTGCAGGTTCTTGTTGGGGTGTAGGTTCTGGTGGGGGTGCAGGTCCTGGTGGGAGTGCAGGTTCTTGTTGGGGTGCAGGTCCTGGTGGAGGTGCAGGTTCTGGTGGGGGTGCAGGTCCTGGTGGGGGTGCAGGTTCTGGTGGGGGTGCAGGTCTGGTGGTGGTGCAGGTTCTGGGGGGGGTGCAGGTTCTGGTAGGGTGCAGGTCCTGGTGGGGGTGCAGGTTCTGGTGGGGGTGCAGGTCCTGGTGGGGGTGTAGGTCCTGGTGGGGGTGCAGGTCCTGGTGGGGGTACAGGTCCTGGTGGGGGTGCAGGTTCTGGTGGGGGTGCAGGTCCTGGTGGGGGTGCAGGTCCTGGTGGGGGTGCAGGTCCTATGGGGGTGCAGGTTCTGGTGGGGGTGCAGGTCCTGGTGGGAGTGCAGGTTCTTGTTGGGGTGCAGGTCCTGGTGGGGCTGCAGGTCCTGGTGGGGGTGCAGGTTCTGGTGGAGGTGCAGGTCCTGGTGGAGGTGCAGGTTCTGGTGGGGGTGCAGGTCCTGGTGGGGGTGCAGGTCCTGGTGGGAGTGTAGGTTCTTGTTGGGGTGCAGGTCCTGGTGGGGGTGCAGGTCCTGGTGGGAGTGTAGGTTCTTGTTGGGGTGCAGGTCCTGGTGGGGGTGCAGGTCCTGGTGGGAGTGCAGGTTCTGGTGGGGGTGCAGGTCCTGGTGGGGGTGCAGGTTCTGGTGGGGGTACAGGTTCTTGTTGGGGTGCAGGTCCTGGTGGGGGTGCAGGTCCTGGTGGGGGTGCAGGTCCTGGTGGGGGTGCAGGTTCTGGTGGGGTGCAGGTCCTGGTGGGGGTGCAGTTCTTATTAGGGTGCAGGTCCTGGTGGGGGTACAGGTTCTGATGGGGGTGCAGGTCCTGGTGGGGGTGCAGGTCCTGGTGGGGTGCAGGTCCTGGTGGGAGTGCAGGTGTCTTGGGGTGCAGGTCCTGGTGGGGGTGCAGGTCCTGGTGGGGGTGCAGGTTCTGGTGGGGGTGCAGGTTCTGGTGGGGGTGCAGGTCCTGGTGGAGGTGCAGGTTCTTGTTGGGGTGCAGGTC